GTCATCCTCTTTGGCCAAAGCATGGATGAAGGAATGATAAATGTGGCCAAACAGCTTTACTGGCAGCATGTGAATTCCAAGTGCCTCTTTGTTGGTATCCTCCTGAGAAGGGTACAATACCTGTAAGGGTGCTTATACTTCCTGCCCAGTGTCAGAAATTAGTGGTCTACATTTCCTCTCTACGCCTGCCAAAGCATAGGACACTCCCCCTTGACAGGGATCTCCCCAACTCTGCCTTCTTACCTCTGTTGCACTTCGGGTGGACATTTTAGCCTAACTCTGTACCCCTCCGTGAGAGTCTACCCTAGCCCTAGCCTACCACATAACCCTATTAAAGGTGTAGAAGTGGGGTTTTCATCTTGGGATGTTAGTGGGCAGTGACTGTGTTCCAGGTATTGTTTGTGATGGTTAGTGACTGCTTCTTCCTTTGCCAGGTCACCAGATTTGAATCCCAATGATGTGACACTCTCAGGCTGCACTGATGGGATACTGAAGTGAGTATAGAATGGATACTAAAGGGTTGGAGACTTTGGTAGGAAGTTTTTAGGGGATTATCTCTACTCCAGTCACTTTTTTTTTGAGAGAGTTTCACTCTGTCGCTCAGGCTGGAGTACAGTGGTACAATCTCGGCTCACTGCAACCTCCATCTCCTGGGTTCAAGCGATCCTCCTGCCTCAGCCTCCCAAGTAGCTGGGACTACAGGCATATGCCACCGTGCCCGGCTAATTTTTGTATTTTTTGTAGAGACGGGGTTTCACCGTGTTGGCCAGGCTTGTCCTAAATTCCTGACCTCGTGATCCACCCACCTCCGCCTCCCAAAGTGCTGGGATTACAGGTGTGAGCCACCGTGCCCGGCTCCAGTCACTTCTTTTTTAAAGTAAGATAGTTCACTCCTCTTTTACAGCCATCCAGGCATAGCAGCAACACAGCGTCAAAGGGACCTGGGCACTTTCTCTCTTATTGCTGCATGATCCTCAAATACTCAGCTTCTACCGCATGATTCAATATGTCAGCTTCAGCTCCAGCCATCTTGGTATTCAGCCAAATTTGTATTATATTATATCCAGTAGGAAAGAAGAAAATGGACATAGGAGATTTCACTATCAAGAGATGGCCATGTCACTGCGGCTTCTGTTCAATTCTTGATCCACAGAAAATTACATTTATTTAAGCTAAATTATAGAAATCTTTTCACATTTTTTTCTCTCTCTCCATCCTTGCCTTCTTATGTACTTGTTTTCTCCCCTGCCTTTTCCTTTGGATACCATCCATTTCCCTCAACTCCTATTAGGAAGCCTCAGACACATTCCTCCTTCTCCAGGGAGCCTTTATGACTGGTTCAGAGCTGCTCAAGCCCAGACTGGGATGGCTTTAAGTTTTACACCTTACCCTAGCCCATTGCCCCTGGCCCAACAGCAAGTTTATGATTACCATGCACAGCAGGAGGGGCTAGAGTTGGGCTTCTTTTTTCCTTCATTCCTATGGTTCTGCATCCTCATTTATTTTAAGTCTGTATAAACTGCTTATGGTTATCTTCTTAAGGAGCTTCACTTAACTGGTGACCAAACCTAGACGTATCTTTTTCCCCCTGCCCTTTTTCGGAGACCTCACTGATTTTGACTCTTGTTATTTATGTCAGGTTCATCGCAGAGCATGGGGCCTCCCATCTTTTGGAACATGTGGGCCAAATGGACAAAATATTCAAGATTCCACCACCCCCAGGAAAGACAGGGGTCCAGTCTCTCCGGCCACTGGAAGAGGACACTCCAAGCCCCTTGGCTCCTATTTCCCAGCAAGGGTCAGTCTGTGTTTCTATGCCTTTGTGAATTGGGAGAGGCTGCAGTCAAACCCGGAGAAACTCTGGGGCTGAAATTCTAGCTGGTGAGGCGCCGCTTGTTCTCTTCATGAAGGTACGCTTCCTCTTTCTCAGGCAGGGGTTTTTCTACCACAGGGAGTTGTCAGGTTGTGAGCAAGCCCTTCCTTTCTCTACTGAGGAAAGGAAGTCAGATTACAAAGACGACGGCAGACATCATGGCCGTATGGCCAGGGTGTAGGCAGAGGGCTTAGGAGTACAGGTTCTGGCTTTTTCATTGTGGCTTTGCCAAATAGTAATTTGAATCTGGCCTAGTTGCTTAATCTCTTAAAGCTATAGTTTCTTGCCGGGCGCGGTGGCTTATGCCTGTAATCCCAGCACTTTGGGAGGTCGAGGTGGGCGGATCACCTGAGGTGGGGAGTTCAAGACCAGTCTGACCAACATGGAGAAACCCCATCTCTACTAAAAGTACAAAATTAGCTGGTGTGGTGGCATATGCCTGTAATGCCAGCTACTGGGGAGGCTGAGGCAGGAGAATCCCTTGAACCCTGGGGGCAGAGGTTGCGGTGAGCCGAGATTGCACCGGAGTACTCCAGCCTGGGCAACAAGAGCAAAACTCTTAAACAAACAAACAAAAAAAACAAAACCTAGTTTCTTGATTGCTAAAATGGAGATAATGATAGTGCTTACCTCACAGTGTTGTCATGAACAAACAGTAAATACATAATAATGATTACGAGAAAAAGGAGAGGTGTACAAGAAATAGCAAGTGGGCTTTAAATTCCAGGGCCCTGCAGTTGAGACCACTAGCACGTGCTTCTCTGAAGGTCTGCTCGGCGCCTGTCTGCTGTCTGTCGTACCTGGCTCATGCTCAGTGCTGAAGGGTGATCACAGCAGTATCTGGATTAGGTGATGGGGCTCATCCCTAGACTGAGCCCAACCCTCTGCTTATCCCCAGATGGCGCAGCATCCGGCTTTTTATTTCATCCACTTTCCGAGACATGCATGGGGAGCGGGACCTACTGCTGAGGTCTGTGCTGCCAGCACTGCAGGCCCGAGCAGCCCCTCACCGTATCAGCCTTCACGGAATCGACCTCCGCTGGGGCGTCACTGAGGAGGAGACCCGTAGGAACAGGTGTGGGGGCTGCAGAGAAGAGGGGCTGGGTTGGGGATGAGGAGCTTGAGTGGTGGACCTGAGGTGGGCAGGGTTGGGGCTGCAAGAATGGATGAGGGTGAAGGCAGGAGTCGCTCCTTGGATACTAACAAGAGCAGCCTACCTTCTCTTTTCTCAGTTGTGAGCCAGGGCCCTGTCTCCCTATTTGTGCCTATGTTCCCTGATACCATGCCCCCAGTGACTCCCACATGTCCCTATAACCATGCCTACAGACAACTGGAAGTGTGCCTTGGGGAGGTGGAGAACGCACAGCTGTTTGTGGGGATTCTGGGCTCCCGTTATGGATACATTCCCCCCAGCTACAACCTTCCTGACCATCCACACTTCCACTGGGTAAGGCAGATAGGTTTGGAGGAGGGCTGGGGAGGAAGCAAAGGTTGGGGCAGAGGCTGTGAGAAGCCACATTCTGTCAGAAACCCTGGGACTATGAACAGGCAGGTCCTTGAGACTTGACGAGAAATATAGGCTGAAGATACTGCAAGTGACCATGCTCTAGATGAGAAAAGTCCTTTGAGAAGTGCCTCTGGGGTTGGCCAAGAGCAAAAGTAAGAGGGTAGGTCTGTTTAGGTGTTGCCATCAGATAGATCTGGGTACTGATCTCCCTTCTGTCATCTACAAGTTGTGTGGCTTTGTGGAATGCAGCTTACTCTCACCTAGCCTCAATTTCCCTATATTAAAGAGAAGCAATGACATTTACATTGGAGGATGACTATGAGAATTAAAAGTCTGTAACAGGGCTAGGTGCAGTGGCTCATGCCTGTAATCCCAGCACTTTGGGAGACCAAGGTGGGTGGATCACCTGAGGTCAGGAGTTCGAGACCAGCCTGGCCAACATGGCGAAACCCCGTCTCTACTAAAAATACAAAAATTAGCTGGGCGTGATGGTGGGTGCCTGTAATCCCAGCTACTCGGGAGGCTGAGGCAGGAGAATTGCTTGAACCCAGGAGGCGGAGGTTGCAGTGAGCCAAGATTACACCATTGCACTGCAACCTGGGCGACAAGAACAAAACTCAGTCTCAAAAAACCAAAAAAACCAAAACAAAAGTCTGTAACAGAATACTCAATACATGACAGGCATTCAATGAATGTTAGCTAATAGTGCCTTGTTCCAGAAAATAAAATTAAATAAATAAAAAACATTAGCTATTAGCTATATTTTATTGCTTGCGCCTGGAGGAAGGGAGAGAGGAACATCACAGATACAGGAGGCCTGGGGCCTTGGCAGGTCTGGAGGGAGGGTCATTGTGGCCTAGGACTAAACCCACCATCTCTGCCCTCCCCACAGGCCCAGCAGTACCCTTCAGGGCGCTCTGTGACAGAGATGGAGGTGATGCAGTTCCTGAACCGGAGCCAACGTCTGCAGCCCTCTGCCCAAGCTCTCATCTACTTCCGGGATTCCAGCTTCCTCAGGTACTCTCTGTTGCCTGCAGGTTGGGGCTCCTTCCCCAGAAGGTCAGACAGGCTAGTCTTCTTTCCTCAGTATTCAGAGTATAGAAGGGGAGTGCTATGAGGCAGAAACAGGACTCAGCATGCCTTTGCAGCCCCACGTCAGCCTTGGTGCTGGAGTCAGGAGATCTCTACTTGAGGAGCTTCAGGAAATTCCAGCTATGTCTGGTGGGTGGTGGAGGGAGGCTGGCTGGGGTCTGAGTGTTCCAACTTTTGGGGTCTTTGGTGGTCAGCTCTGTGCCAGATGCCTGGAAATCTGACTTTGTTTCTGAGTCTGAAGAGGCCGCATGTCGGATCTCAGAACTGAAGAGCTACTTAAGCAGACAGAAAGGGATTACCTGCCGCAGGTGAGCTGAGGGAGGTAGGGCGCACCTGTACAGAGATGTGGTGAGAGGAGCCAGGCCTGCTCTGACCTGGTTGTGCTTGATTTGCCCACAGGTACCCCTGTGAGTGGGGGGGTGTGGCAGCTGGCAGGCCCTATGTTGGTGGGCTGGAGGAGTTTGGTCAGTTGGTTCTGCAGGATGTGTGGAATACGATCCAGAAGCTCTACCTGCAGGTCAGCAGAAGCACTGGTGACCAGAGGCGTGCAGAGGGACATGGGGTGGTCTGGGTTGTCCTGGGTGGGAAGTAACTTGGTGGGGCCTCTGTGAGTTTTAGCCTGGGGGTCCTGAGGAGCAAGGCACCATGGATAGTCACTGACCCATTTACCCTCAGCCTGGGGCCCTGCTGGAGCAGCCAGTGTCCATCCCAGACGATGACTTGGTCCAGGCCACCTTCCAGCAGCTGCAGAAGCCACCGAGTACTGCCCGGCCACGCCTTCTTCAGGACACAGTGCAGCAGCTGATGCTGCACCATGGGAGGCTGAGCCTGGTGACGGGGCAGTCAGGACAGGGCAAGACAGCCTTCCTGGTACAGAGTCTCAGGGGCCTGGGCAGGAGGGAGGGAAGGCTATGTGGGCTAAGGAGGTAAGGCACAGGGAGCTCAAGCATGTAAAATGTGACCATGTTTTCTGTTCCTGTCACATGCAGGCATCTCTTGTGTCAGCCCTGCAGGCCCCTGATGGGGCCAAGGTGGCACCATTAGTCTTCTTCCACTTTTCCGGGGCTCGTCCTGACCAGGGTCTTGCCCTCACTCTGCTCAGACGCCTCTGTACCTATCTGCATGGCCAACTAAAAGAGCCAGGTGCCCTCCCCAACACCTACCGGTGGGTATCCCCCAATGAGCCCAGCCTTGTTGACGTCCACGGTGCCACCCCTGCTTTTCTCTCTCTCCCACTGACCCTGACTTCATCTCCATGTACAGAAGCCTGGTGTGGGAGCTGCACCAGAGACTGCTGCCCAAGTCTGCTGAGTCCCTGCATCCTGGCCAGACGCTGGTCCTGATCATCGATGGGGCTGATAGGTTGGTGGACCAGAATGGGCAGCTGATTTCAGACTGGATCCCAAAGAAGCTTCCCCGGGTGAGTGTGAGAAGGAGGTGGGTGTGGGGAGGCAGGCTGGGGAGAAGGAGGGGTACAGCAGGGAGGAGAGGGGCCTCTCCAATGTGGTTCTCCTTTTCTTTCTACCTTCCTTTCCCTTTGCCCAAATATCACAGTGTGTACACCTGGTGCTGAGTGTGTCTAGGGATGCAGGCCTAGGGGAGACCCTTGAGCAGAGCCAGGGTGCCCACGTGGTGGCCTTGGGGCCTCTGGAGGCCTCTGCTCGGGCCCGGCTGGTGAGAGAGGAGCTGGCCCTGTATGGGAAGCGGCTGGAGGAGTCACCGTTTAACAACCAGGTTGGGTTCTAGGCCAGGGCTGGTGGGTGTCTGGGGTGAATCTGGGAACTATGAGGACCTGAGCTGCTGAGGCTGCTAGCTGCCTGGAGCAGACCTGCTCCTTTGTTTTCTCAGAAATTCTGTCCATGGGAAGTTGTTAATAAGAAAATTGTGGTTCCTGATAATGTCCCCCAGCCCTCTTCCCCTGGTGAATGACCTTCCCGGGGCCTCTTGGGGTGAGGGGATGAGTGAAGTGGTTTTTGTGGGGTGGGCTGAGCCACAGGGGTTTTCTGGCAGGGCTGGCTGGGCAGAGCAGTGTAGGAGGGGGATGGTTATGTCCTGGGGTGATGCCACGGACCTGGTGCCTGCTGGGGACTCTCAGAGGAGGAGCTGCCTGGCAGAGGGGCTGGTGCTTGGGCAGAGGGCTGGCTGCGGGCAGCCCTCCTGGACCCCACCGTGAGTCCTGAGTCTTGTCAGATGCGACTGCTGCTGGTGAAGCGAGAATCAGGCCGGCCGCTCTACCTGCGCTTGGTCACCGATCATCTGAGGCTCTTCACGCTGTATGAGCAGGTCGGTTCTCCTCACCTTCCAAGTCCCAGTCACCACTTCCCATTCTCTCTTCAGCTGCTTTGTCTCATCCCTATCCCATGTCCTTTGCTGTCTTGTGATCACCTACTCCCCATCCTCACCTCACACCTCGCCTCACCTCTCTCCCACCGTTGTTCTTTACTTTTTCATTCCTCCCCGCTGTCCTCCTGCTGCCCCTTCCCTATCCCACAACCCAAGCTGCTTCTCCTCCCGCCACACTGAACGAGGCTGTCCTCCCGCCATCCTAGGTGTCTGAGAGACTCCGGACTCTGCCTGCCACTGTCCCCCTGCTGCTGCAGCACATCCTGAGCACACTGGAACAGGAACACGGGCCTGATGTCCTTCCCCAGGCGTTGACCACCCTAGAGGTCACACGGAGTGGTCAGTGCTTGGGGTGGGTGGGTTGGGATGTTGAGGGCCAAGGTTCGGATTACATTGGTTCCACTGGGTTCTCAGCAGGCAGTGCAAGGAGAGACTGGGTGGGGTGGGGGGTGGGGGACACTCTGTGGTTAGGTGAGGGCCTCAGAGAGCTTGAGTTTTCAGGTTTGACTGTGGACCAGCTGCATGGAGTGCTGAGTGTGTGGCGGACACTACCCAAGGGGACTAAGAGCTGGGAAGAAGCAGTGGCTGCTGGTAACAGTGGAGACCCCTACCCCATGGGCCCGTTTGCCTACCTCGTCCAGAGTCTGCGCAGGTACAGGTGCCCCCGCTGAGCTCCTGCTGACCTCTCTATGCCTTCCCTTCTTTGAGCCAGGGCCCTGTGTATAGCTTCAACGTCTGGCTCCCAGACCATGAATGGGCTACTGCTCCAGCTGCTCCAGTTTCCACACTATTTGAGAGGGGCATAGGAGCCCACTGCTGTGCCAGGGTGCTCACTGACAGGCCTCTTCCTTCTCCTCTCTCTCTTCCTCACATGAGGACAGTTTGCTAGGGGAGGGCCCTCTGGAGCGCCCTGGTGCCCGGCTATGCCTCCCTGATGGGCCCCTGAGGACAGCAGCTAAACGTCGCTATGGGAAGAGGCCAGGGCAAGCGGACACGGCACACATCCTCATTGCAGGTGATTGCAGCCCAAGTCAGCCTGGGCACTGAGTGTGGAGCTTGGGCTTGGAGGCCAGGACCACCCACTGTGCTCCCATCTGCTGGCCAGCTCACCTACTGCCCTTGGGAATGATGCAAGGCTGAGCCTTTCTCAATATCTGTTCATGCAGCTCAGCTCTGGAAGACATGTGACGCTGATGCCTCAGGCACCTTCCGAAGTTGCCCTCCTGAGGCTCTAGTAGACCTGCCTTACCACCTGGTTAGTTCCTAGACTCCATAGACACCTTTCCCAAAGTGAGTGCTTTGGCTGTTCTGAGACCCCTCTCCCCCTTACCATCTCCACCATCACTGCTGCCATCACCCCTCCCAAACTCCCTTGACCTCTTTCCTTTGTTTTCCTGCCCTTCTTCTTCAAGTCCCTTGTCGCAGCTCACATCCTATCTCTGTATTCAGGTTCTGAGACTAAACGCTCCCTTCTCACCAGCCCTTTCACATCCCTAATGAATCCAATCTGACCTTCTCAGCTCCAGAGCGGGAACCGTGGACTTCTTTCGAAGTTTCTTACCAACATCCATGTGGTGGCTGCATACTTGGAATTGGGTCTGGTCTCTCGGCTCTTGGAGACCCATGCCCTCTATGGTGAGATGATTCACTGGCTGGATTCTTTTCTGAGATATGGGACTCCTGGGTGTGCTTATGGGGGCCCTGCTCAGGGTTGGGGCGGGGGTGTGGGTGTCAGGGAAAAAAGATTCAAATTTCCATTTCAAGTTGAAAATGCCAAGAGGGTGAGCATGTGACTCTCAGGAGACCTTTCACCTCGGTCTCTTGGACCAGAGATTCTTCAACTTTATTTAGTTAGCATCAAACTGTCTAGGAAACTGTTCAAATTACAGATCCTTGGGTCTCCATATTCTGGTTCCCTAGGTTTGGAGTGGGGCCCGAAGCTTTGTACTTTTAACAGATATTCCTGATATAGGGCCAGAGGGCCACACTTTGAGACTCACTATTGTAGACACACCATATGGTTTTATTTGGTGCTGGGGTTAATGGGATCTAGCTGGCTCCCCGGTGACATTCTGCCACTCTTTTATAGCTTCTTCAGTCCCCAAAGAGGAACAAAAGCTCCCTGAGGCTGATGTTGCGGTGTTTCGCACCTTCCTGAGGCAGCAGGCTTCAATCCTCAGCCAGTACCCCCAGCTCCTGCCCCAGCAAGCAGCCAACCAGCCCCTGGACTCACCTCTTTGCCAGCAAGCCCCGCTGCTCTCCCAGAGATGGCACCTCCAACACACACTACGATGGCTTAATAAACCCCAGACCATGAAAAATCAGCAAAGGTAAGACCTTGACCCCAGACCCTAGTAAGCCCACCAGAGATCTAGCTGCAGCTCTTTCTGAAACTGAAGAATAAGGATGACCAGAAACACTGGGAGAGGGGGATCCAGGCACAGAAGCACAGAAATCAACTCCTGTTTGCATTCCCTCTTTTATTTCCTCCCTTTCTTCCTACTCTTTCTCTAGCTCCAGCCTGTCTCTGGCAGTTTCCTCATCCCCTACTGCCGTAGCTTTCTCCACCAATGGGCAAAGAGCAGCTGTTGGCACTGCCAATGGGACAGTTTACCTGTTGGACCTGAGAACTTGGCAGGTACGACAATCAAGGATGGGCAGAATTTACCCTCTGAAAATCTGTGCAGACTGCCCTGAAGCCCTAGATGAGCCACACACCTGTTATCACTCTGATTCATTCAGCAACTTTACTGCCTGCACATCAGCTCAAAGGGCTTCATCAAGAAATCAATCACACAGCAAATATTTGCTGCACACCTTCCATTTAAGGCACTGTACTAAGCGTGGCAAGAAACACAGGACTTGGGACATTGTCATTGCCCACCAAGTGGTCAGTTTTGTTGGGAGATAAGACATACAAGGTGAAAAAAGGAACCAAAACATAGCCATGTAATATAATTAAGACCTGAGTGACCTGTGCAGTTATGGGAGGGCATAGGGTAGAGAAGGGCAAGCATTCTTGTTTGAACAAGGAACCTGAGCAAAGACGCAGGGGGAGAATGTTCCCTGTAAATTGCTGGGAATTATGGCAGCACAAAGTGCTTATGGGAGGCTAATAGTACATTGGGCTGGAGAGGTGAGTCCTAGAACCATGGCCTCTTTCTATCCTCTTTCCAACCATATCATCCCCTACCCCATGTAATCCCATTTTCTCAAGTCCATCAAAATCTTCTGTAACTTGGGGAATAGGTATGGGGTTTGGAGTGGGGGAGAAAATGTGGCCCCACTTGGATCATGAGGCCCCCACTTGAACGTGTGCTTGACTTGCAACATAGAGAGCCAAGGACTCATGGCCTTTGTGCCTTGGCCTTCTTTTTGGGTGGGGCCTGGAGTGGTGGGACTTGAAGGGTCAAGGGGATGGCCGGAGCTGACTTTCTCACCCACTGTCGCAGGAGGAGAAGTCTCTGGTGAGTGGCTGTGATGGAATCTCTGCTTGTTTGTTCCTCTCCAATGACACACTCTTTCTTACTGCCTTCGACGGACTCCTGGAACTCTGGGACCTGCAGCATGGTTGTCGGTAGGGGGTCCTCTCCGTTTGTCTTGGAGTGAGGGCCTTCCCCATTTGTTGGAAGCCCCAGGAGAAGGAAATGAGGAGGGAGCTGATGGCCAGGGGGCCCAGAGGACTGACTTCATCTTCCTGGGATAGGGTGCTGCAGACCAAGGCCCACCAGTACCAAATCACTGGCTGCTGCCTGAGCCCAGACCGCCGGCTGCTAGCCACCGTATGCTTGGGAGGATGCCTAAAGGTAAGACTTGGGGACTGCAGTGGTCAGAGTGGCCCTGAGCCATGACTCACCCTCGTGAGGTTGTTCTCTCAGTGTGGCAGCGGCTGCTGACTGCTTGGCCAGAGAAGGCCTTCCCTGCTGATGGCAGGGGAACTGGACAAGGTTGCTCCTGGAGGTCTGGGACTGAGAAGTTCAGGCATCTCTGTTCAGCATCCTGATTCCTCCTCTCTCTCCCTCAGCTGTGGGACACAGTCCGTGGGCAGCTGGCCTTCCAGCACACCTACCCCAAGCCCCTGAACTGTGTTGCCTTTCACCCAGAGGGGCAGGTAATAGCCACAGGCAGCTGGGCTGGCAGCATCAGCTTCTTCCAGGTGGATGGGCTCAAAGTCACCAAGGTAAGAAGGTCCAGTGTGGCTCTGGGGCGAAGCACAGGAGGACAGGAGTGGAGGGTGGCAGACGACAGACAACAGCATACTGGGTGACTTTAGGATTGTGCTGAGAGCAGGTCTTCAAGTTTCCATTTCTACCTCCGTGTGTAGGACCTGGGGGCACCTGGAGCCTCTGTCCGTACCTTGGCCTTCAATGTGCCTGGTGGGGTTGTGGCTGTGGGCCGGCTGGACAGTATGGTGGAGCTGTGGGCCTGGAGAGAAGGGGCACGGCTGGCTGCCTTCCCTGCCCACCGTGGCTTTGTTGCTGCTGCGCTTTTCCTGCATGCGGGTTGCCAGTTACTGACGGCTGGAGAGGATGGCAAGGTCAGCTTGCAGAGAGCTGGTGGTGGGTTGTGAGGAGGAGTAGCAAAGGCAAAGAATATCTGGGTGGGGGTGGGGGTCCTTTGTTGAGGAGGCTGTGGAGGAGCTTGGATGGCAGGAGCCACAGGGAGAGGGGTGCCACTGTGTGCAGGGGCAGCTCTCATGAGAGGAGTCTCTGGAAGGAGGATTTTAATGGGGGTGGCTGTAACTCAAAGCAGGGAGGAGGACTGGGTGGTGGAGGTGGTATCCTTAAGCCCTTTTCTTGGTTCCCAGGTTCAGGTATGGTCAGGGTCTCTGGGTCGGCCCCGTGGGGACCTGGGTTCCCTTCCTCTCTCTCCTGCCCTCTCCGTGGCACTCAGCCCAGATGGTGATCGGGTGGCTGTTGGGTATCGAGCAGATGGCATTAGGATCTACAAAATCTCTTCAGGTACTGACGGGGGAATGGGTGGGTTTTTGAGCCTTTAGAAAGAGCACAGCCCCTGCCCCCCAACCCTTCCCAAGTATCTTACGCCCTTGTTCTCTCTCATTCTCTAGGTTCCCAGGGGGCTCAGGGTCAGGCACTGGATGTGGCAGTATCCGCCCTGGCCTGGCTAAGCCCCAAGGTGTTGGTGAGTGGAGCAGAAGACGGGTCCTTGCAGGGCTGGGCACTCAAGGAATGCTCCCTTCAGTCCCTCTGGCTCCTGTCCAGATACCAGAAGCCTGTGCTAGGACTGGCCACTTCCCAGGAGCTCTTGGCTTCTGCCTCAGGTACTACTGGACAGTGGGCAGGGTTAACAAATCACTGTTCTTTTTATTTTTATTTATTTTTATTTTTTTTAAGATAGAGCTTCACTCTTATTGCCCAGGCTAGAGTGCAGTGGTGCAATCTCGGCTCACTGCAACTTCTGCCTCCTGGGTTCAAGCAATTCTCCCATCTCAGCCTCCCGAGTAGCTGGGTTTATAGCCATGCACCACCATGCCCAGCTAATTTTGTATTTTTAGTAAAGACGGAGTTTCACCTTGTTGGTCATGCTGGTCTTGAACTCCTGACCTTAGGTGATCCACCCACCTCGGCCTCCCAAAGTGCTGGGATTACAGACATGAGCCGTCACGCCTGGCCCACAAATCACTGTTCCTTTTAAAGACACTAATACCTTTCTCCAAGTTGTATGTATATGTGTATGAAAATACACTTGTGCGATTTTGTTTTACAACTTTTAAAGTGCTTTTGAATGCACTTATCTTGCATAATCTGTTTAGACTGTTTGTACTCGTTCCTTCACCCTCATTCTGGGACCTCTAAACTCCCAGTAATCCTTTGAGTTTCTGCCCCTTGGGAGAGTGTGCTGTGTAAAGGGATAGGTTTCCCTTAGAAGGAGAGAGAGAGAGATGTTGAGGTGAAAATGTAGAATGGCCTAGGCCCTCTCTACGTGGGAGACCTGGGCCTCACAGGTCGTGAGGTGGAAGTGACACTGGACACTTGAGAAGAGGAGGGGTCTGGAGCGGCTGCTGTGGGAGTACAGTTAGAGAAGCAGAGACAAGGAACCATGTTCCTGGCCTGAGCTGTGGAGCTGGAGCTGGGAGTGCCGGGCATTCCTGTCCTATGTACACACTTGCTGATGACCCTTGTCCAGGGCCTCTCCGCAGCCTTGTGACTCCCTGCATCTCTCCCATGGAGCTGTGCCTTGGGCGTCACCCTTAGCCCCCATGGCTGCTCCTGTCTTTGGCCTCCCAGGGCCTGTCTGGCTTCCTCTTTCAGGAAGCTGTTCCCTCTCTCTTTTTCCAATGCAGAGGATTTCACAGTGCGGCTGTGGCCAAGGCAGCTGCTGACGCTGCCGCACAAGGCAGAAGACTTTCCCGGTGGCACTGAGCTGCGGGGACATGAGGGCCCTGTGAGCTGCTGTAGTTTCAGCACTGATGGAGGCAGCCTGGCCACCGGGGGCCGGGATCGGGTGAGCTGCAGAAGGATGCAACCCTGGGGTCCCATAGCCCCTCTAGTTCCTAGATTTCTTAACAACAAGCCATTTCCCGTTGCTTCCTCCTGCTTTTTGTTTTGCCAAATCTAGTATAGATCTGTCTAGCTGTGCTTCCTTGCGCCCCCTCTTTCCTTGAAATTTCTTGCCTGAAATGGCCCCAGGGTTCCCATCCCTCCTTTGGTCCTGATTGCTGCCTCTCCTTGGGGCCTATCCAGAGTCTCCTCTGCTGGGATGTGCGGACACCCAAAGCCCCTATTTTGATCCACTCCTTCCCCGCCTGTCACCGTGACTGGGTCACTGGCTGTGCCTGGACCAAAGATAACCTACTGGTGAGTAAAGGGCCAAGGGTGGCACAGAGCCCAGCTGGGTTCCTGGGGCAAGACAACACTCCCCACCTCATCCTTCTTCTGGCACCCATTAAGAATAGTAATAGCTAATATTTGTCAAACTTGATATGTGCCAACCATTGAAGTAAGCTCTTTTCATATATTGTTTCACTTAATCTTTACAACACTCTGTAAAGTAGATACTCCTTTTATCTCTATTTTACAGACAAGGAAATTGAACTCAGAACATTTCCAAGGTCAGTGATGAAGCTGAGCCAGCGAACTCTCTAATAAGAAAGCCCAGGGCCGGGCGCGGTGGCTCACACCTGTAATCCCAGCACTTTGGGAGGCTGAGGCGAGTGGATCACAGGGTCAGGAGTTCAAGACCAGCCGACCAACATGGGGAAACCCCATCTCTACTAAAAATACAAAATTAGCCAGGCGTGGTGGTGCATGCCTGTAATCCCAGCTACTCAGGAGGCTGAGGCAGGAGAATCATTTGAACCCAGAAGGCACTCCAGCCTGGGCAACAAGAACGAAACTTCATCTCAAAATAATAATAATAATAATAATAATAATAATAATAATAATATGGACAATAGCTAATATTTATTATATGTTCACTGTGTGCCAGGCAGCATGCTAAGTCCTTTTTTTTTTTTTTTTGAGGTAGAGTTTTGCTCTTGTCGCCCAGGCTGGAGTGCAGTGGCGCGCTCTCTGCTCACTGTAATCTCCACCTCCCAGGTTCGAATGATTCTCCTGCCTCAGGCTCCTGAGTAGCTGAGATTATAGGCGCCCACCACCACGCCCAGCTAATTTTTTGTATTTTTAGTAGAGACGGGGTTTCCCCATGTTGGCCAGGCTGGTCTCGAACTCGTGACCTCAGGTGATCCATCTGCCTCGGCCTCCCAGAGTGCTGGGATTATAGGCGTGAGTCGTTTATGTAGATGCACTCAGCCCCAAACCATGATGTCAGATAGGTACATTATCATTATACTCATCAAATAGTTGAGAAACCCAAGGCTCAGAAAGAGAAACAGACCACAAAGCAGAAAGTAATGAGTGGCAGAGCTAGGATTTGAACCCAGGAGAACCCAGGCCCTTCATTACATGGCTTACTGCCTTCCACCCTACATTATAGACATACAAAAATGCTGGAGGGATGCTAATAATCCCACTCCTCTGACTTCTGACTCTGCAGATATCCTGCTCCAGTGATGGCTCTATGGGGCTCTGGGACCCAGAGTCGGGACAGCGGCTTGGTCAGTTCCTGGGTCATCAGAGTGCTGTGAGCGCTGTGGCGGCTGTGGTGAGAAGGCAATGGAGATCCTACTGTGGAGGGTCTCTAGAAGGGCTAAGGGGGCTTTGAGAGACTGGGTGCATTGAGTATCTAATCCCAGAGGCAAAATGAGCATAAAGAATGAGATACCTGGAGATTAGGCAACACAGTGAGACCCCCCATCTCTATAAAAAATAAAAATAAAAATTAGCTGGGTACCATGGTGCATGCCTGCAGTTCTAGCTACTCAGGAGGCTGAGGAGAGAGATCACTTGAGCCCAGGAGTTCAAGGCTATAGTAAGCTGTGATTACCATTGCGCTCCAGACTCTAGTGTGACAGAGTGGGACCCTATCTTTAAAAAAAAAAAAAAAAAAAGGAGAAAAAGAAAATGAGATACTTGGGAGTGGATTATGGTGTTGAGGCTAAGGGTTGGTGTAAAGGGAGACAGGAGAGCATGAAAACACAGCCTCTTGGTATTGTGAACTTGAGCCACCCAACCCCACTGTCCTGAGCCACCCAACCCCGCTGTTCCTGAGTTCTCCTCCCTCGTTGACATCTTCCATGCTCCTAATGCTCAGCCCACCACCTCTGTGGAGGGAGTTCTGTTTCCCATGTCCTGCTCAATATGACTCTGCTCTGATCTCGTGCTCTGGGGGCAGGAGGAGCACGTGGTGTCTGTGGGCCGGGATGGGACCTTGAAAGTGTGGGACCATCAAGGCGTGGAGCTGACCAGCATCCCTGCTCACTCAGGACCCATTAGCCACTGTGCAGCTGCCATGGAGCCCCGTGCAGGTAACAAAACGTCAGCCACCTCCCCTTCCCTGCTGCTGCTGCTTTTCTGCCCTGCTCCGTCCCTTCTTCTGACTCAGTCTCTGTGTCTTATCAGCTGGACAGCCTGGGTCAGAGCTTCTGGTGGTGACCATCGGGCTAGATGGGGCCACACGGTTATGGCATCCACTCTTGGTGAGTTCCTGAAAGGACCAGGATCAAGGGAGGTGGGGAAAGTATGTGGAATAACCTTCTATTGTGCCCACTCCCATGAGCCCATCTCTATCCCTTGCTCCTAGGTGTCCCAAACCCACACCTTCCTGGGACACAGTGGCCCAGTCCGTGCTGCTGCTGTTTCAGAAACCTCAGGCCTCCTGCTGACTGCCTCTGAGGATGGTTCTGTACGGCTCTGGCAGGTTCCTAAGGAAGCAGGTGAGTGAGGTTTGGAGAGAGGTGTGTTACTAGTACAAAAAAAGGTCGAGGGTGACCTGATATCTCTTATCCCAGCAGTATCCCAGCTCCTAATGAAACACTTCCTTTCTTCTCCAGATGACACATGTATACCAAGGAGTTCTGCAGCCATCACTGCTATGGCTTGGGCACCAGATGGTTCCATGGCAGTATCTGGAAATCAAGCTGGGGAACTAATCTTGTGGCAGGAAGCCAAGGCTGTGGCCACAGCACAGGTGAGTCGATGTACTCTTGGTTCTTTGTGTGAATTCTACCCTGGCTGTGTATTACTGGGCATTAGAGGTTGCATATCTGCCTGGGAGGGAAACGATGGTGCAACCTGGCTCATCAGAAGCACTGAATTGAACTTGTGTGTACACCAGGCTCCAGGCCACATTGGTGCTCTGATCTGGTCCTCGGCACGCACCTTTTTTGTCCTCAGTGCTGATGAGAAAATCAGCGAGTGGCAAGTGAAACTGCGGAAGGGTTCAGCACCCGGAAATTTCAGGTGAAACAGGCTGATGGGTTAATGGGATAGAAACAGCAGTCTCCTCACTCCTGGCATTTTACTCAAATTACTGCACTTCTGCTTCGGAACTAGGTCAACTGGATGTTAGTTACTGAGTGGGACATTATTTTCTGCTTCTGTCCATGGCAATGTAAATGAGTAATTCTCAGGTGCCTACTTGATGCCAAGCTCTGCAACAGGCAGTATGAACCAGTTACAGATGAAATTCATTCTTTAATTAAGGAAGCTTGACTGACTAGTGCTATAATGAAGATACATGTGCACACACACACACACACACACACACGTGCACACACATATTCCTGGGGCTTCAAAATTTGAGAAATTGTGGGAAGGAGTTGTTGGTATTTAAGGTTGGACACTTACAGAATGAGTAGGAGTTTTCTGGACCAGTAAGAGAAGGGAACAGTGCCAGTGTTTCAGGAAGAAGGAACATGTACAGAAGATACGGAGATATTAGAGTGTATGTTCTCGGTATAGCCAGCTCCTCGGATTCCTGGTGGCAGTAAGGGAAATGAAATTGAAAAGATAAACTGGGGTCAGGCTATACAGGGCACAGTGCTAAGAATTTGAGTGGAATAATGATCTGGATTTTTTTATTAAGAGAACTCTGGTGGCAGTATGGAAGATGGATGGTAGTAGAGAGATACCAAAAGTAAGGAGATCACTTTACACCTGTAGCTATAGCCTAGGAAAGACATAATGTGGGCCTGACCTGGGCCGTGGAGACAAGAAGGGGAGATACAGATTTAGGCATGTATTGCATCTACAGGCCTTATTGATGAGTTGGAAGTAGAGAAGGAAGGAAAAGTCAAGAATGTTAGAGATTCCTAGTTTGAGAAAGTAATGGGATGGCACTAATGAATACTAATGTTAAAAAAAAAACAGAAAGTGGAACAGGATTTTCAGGCAAGGTGATACATTTTGCTTTATACTTAATTCCTGAGGAATTCATGTGGGATTGAGGAGGCCAAGAGATGTTAACTAAAATAGGATCTTTCTCTGTCCATGTACTTTTTTGAGCTAGTCTTCACCTGAACCGAATTCTACAGGAGGACTTAGGGGTGCTGACAAGTCTGGGTTGGGCTCCTGATGGTCACTTTCTCATCTTGGCCAAAGCGGATTTGAAGTTACTTTGCATGAAGCCAGGGGACGCTCCTTCTGAAATCTGGTAAGATCAAAAATGCCATTTCCTCCCGAGCTGGGGAGAAAGGAAATGTGAGTTAGTGGCTATCCTGAGGTTGAGTCTAACTTAGAAGAAAACACTAGAGTCTTAAAGAGGGGTGTTCTTCTCTTTACCTCTCTGAAAATCCTGGGCTCAACCTATTCCCTTCTTACAAACCAGGAGCAGCTATACAGAAAATCCTATGATATTGTCCACCCACAAGGAGTATGGCGTATTTGTCCTGCAGCCCAAGGATCCTGGAGTTCTTTCTTTCTTGGTAAGTCCTATTTGAGTGTGTGTTAAAGCAAACATTCATCTAGGACCAGTGTTTTTACACCTTAGGGCCCATCATGGAGGATAGGGGAAGGGAAAGGCAGTTGGCTGCAAATCCTCCTATCCTCCTTCAACTGGAGTAGTTCTAGTTTAGGACATTGTTTATTGGGTTCCCACGTAAGATTTCATTGGTACAAGAAAGGACTCTACCATTTTAACAAGCCGTGGGAAACCATAAACCTAGAAGTTTTCTCAATTGTATTTTTTCCCATGTCTCTCTTGTCTTGCCCCCATGAATATTAGCATCTCGAGGGCAAGGACTACGTCTTGTTTTTGTCATCATACTTATCAGTTACTTAATAGATGTTCAACACTTTTTGGACTGAGTGTGCCAAAGCTAGCTGTTCACTTCACATTGCAGGTTCCTGGGAGCCCCTTGTTACTGGGAAGGTTAGTAAATCCTGATCTGCTACCTACTAAAGTTATCTACTAAAGCCTATTCATGACCCAGTGATTCCACTCCTAAATATATACCCAAGAGAAAGGAGTACATATGTTCCGCAAAGCCTGGTACAAGAATCTTCATGGTAGCTTTATTCATCATAACTAAATATTAATAAATAGAAAGGGGATAAATAATTTGTGGCATTTATACAATGGACTGCTACATGACAAAACAATTAATGTGATACTGCATGCTGATGAATGGAATAATACAGACATATCTCATAGACATTATTCTGGGCAAAGGAAACCAGTTACAAAGGAGTACATGCTATATGATGTCACCTAAATGAAGTTCAAGAACAAGCAAGACTAATTTCAGTTGACAGACATTAGAATATTGTTAGCTTTTGTGGTGATGGTCTGGTATTGATGGGGAAGGGACATAAGGGCAATTTTCTGGGGTGATGGAAATGCTCTACCTCTTGATCTACGGGGTGACTGCATGGATGGATGCATGTGTAAAAGTACATTGCGATGTACATTTAAGATTTGTGCACTTAGCCAGGTGCAGTGGCTCACAACTGTAATCCCAGCACTTTGGGAGGCCAAGGCCGGTGGATAACCTGAGGCCAGGAGTTCGAGACCAGCCTGGCCCACATGGTGAAACCCTGTCTCTACGAAAAAGACAAAAATCAGCTGGGTGCAGTGGCACGAGCCTACAATCCCAGCTACTTGGGACGCTGAGGCAGAATGGCTTGAACCCGGGAGGCAGAGATTACAGTGAACCAAGATTGTGCCACTGCACTCCAGCCTGGGCAACAGAGCAATGCTCCATCTCAAAAAAAAAAGAAAGAAAAAGAAAAAAAGAAAAAGATTTGTGTACTTGATTGTATCTAAGTTATAGTTTAAAAAAAAAAAAAAAAAATCCTGACCAGCCCAGAGCTGAAAACAGTTGCTTTGTCTGGTACAAGTTGACTCGTATGGGTAGGCTAAACAAAATTACCTATCCTTTCACAGAGGCAAAAGGAATCAGGAGAGTTTGAAGAGAGGCTGAACTTCGATATAAACTTAGAGAATCCTAGTAGGACCCTAATATCGATAACTCAAGCCAAACCTGAATCTGGTGAGTGGTAACAGGAGGACCTGAGGAGCCAGGAGATGGCCCAGGGTGGATGGCAGATCCCTCAAGGCCCGAGACTTGGCTCTAATTCTGTCCTTAAAATGGCAGAGTCCTCATTTTTGTGTGCCAGCTCTGATGGGATGCTATGGAACCTGGCCAAATGCAGCCCAGAAGGAGAATGGACCACAGGTAACATCTGGCAGAAAAAAGCAAACATTCCTGAAACCCAAACTCCAGGGGCAGACCCATCTACCTGCAGGGAATCTGACGCCAGCATGGATAGTGAGCCAACATCACAGCTAAAGACACGGCAGCGTAGAAAGGTGAGTTTGAAGGAAGGGTCAGAAATACTAGGGGAGGGCTGGGCGCGGTGGCTCACGCCTATAATCCCAGCACTATGGGAGGCCGAGGCGGGAGGATCACGAGGTCAGGAGATCAAGAGCATCCTGGCTAACACGGTGAAACCCCATCTCTACTAAAAAATACAAAAAATTAGCTGGGCGTGGTGGTGGGCGCTTGCAGTCCCAGTTACTCGGGAGGCCGAGGCAGGAGAATGGTGTGCACCTGGGAGGCGGAACTTGCAGTGAGCTGAGATCACGCCACTGCACTCCAGCCTGGGTGACAGAGCGAGACTCCATCTGAAAAAAAAGAAAAAAAGAAAAAAGAAATACTAGGGGAGGAGGGCTCTAGTTCTGACACAGCTCACTGTGATGCTTCTCTGAGGAGGGGCCCCTGAGAACTCACCATCCTGCTCTCCCCTTTCCTCTTTGAGATTCACTCGGGCTCTGTCACAGCCCTTCATGTGCTACCTGAGTTGCTGGTGACAGCTTCAAAGGACAGAGATGTTAAGCTATGGGAGAGACCCAGTATGCAGCTGGTAAGTGTGTGTGTGTGTGAGGGTGTGTGCGCACACCTATCCCAAAGGGATGTCACAAGACAGCAAACTTAGAGTAAGAAAGGGCAAAAGATCAAAATTCTGTTTTCTTCAATCACTTGCAATGTATGACTAACCTGTTTCTAAATAAAAGGCATTAATGTGAGAAAAAATAAGTTAGTAAGGAGGCCCTAGGTTTGTAGCCCTGACCTCCCTCATTTTTGTTCCCATTGTAGCTGGGCCTGTTCCGATGCGAAGGGTCAGTGAGCTGCCTGGAACCTTGGCTGGGCGCTAATTCCACCCTGCAGCTTGCCGTGGGAGATGTGCAGGGCAATGTGTACTTTCTGAACTGGGAATGAAGATGTGGGGAAAAATGATACCCCTTGTGCTAGAGATGCAAAGCCTGAAGACACTGGTAGCTTTTAATAATTATAAAATTAATAATTTCTTAACAATTATAAAAATGAAGTGTCAAAAAATCTCAAGTGTGGGCCTGTGTTCTCATGTGGATTTAGACAGGAAGATATTCTATGTATATGTATATGTATATGTACATTCTAATGTGTGTCTCTTCTCATTTAACATTAATCCTTACTAGAACCACAAGAAAGTGAATGAAATCTTTAGTAGGTACTCTTTTGAAGCTAGGTTTTAGAATTCTTGCATCACTTGTGGACCCTAGGACCTTAGGAGGCCATTCTTGCCAGGAGGAGGAATGAGAGTGATGTTGGCCAACATTCAATTTGAACACAGCATGGAAGACCTTTCAGTTCATCGAGAAAGAATGAGGGAGGGAGAATAAGTCAGTCACGCATCAAGGCATTTAGAAAGAGCTATGTTTCTGTCACAGAGACAACCCTTTTCTCAGAACTACCCAGACAAGGCCGGGCGTGGTGGCTCACGCTTGTAATCCTAGCACTTTGGGAAGCCGAGGTGGGCGGATCATGAGGTCAGGAGGTCAAGACCATGCTGGCTAATATGGTGAAACCCCCACTCTACTAAAAAATACAAAAAATTAGCCAGGCGTGGTGGCGGGCGCCTGTAGTCCCAGCTACTTGGAAGGCTGAGGCGGGAGAATAGCATGAACCCAGGAGACGGAGCTTACAGTGAGCCAATATCATGCCACTGCACTCCAGCCTGGGCGACAAAGCAAGATTCCATCTGGAAAAAAGAAAAAAAAAAGAAAAAGAAACTACCCAGATGAGAGGTGAGGAGCCAAGCCATTGAAAGCGGAACAAACCTTCTGGTTTTCCCAACTTCTGACACGACTTTCAAACTTTAGTCAATATGGTAATTGACATTCTCAGAAGAGATCACACAAAAGTGTCTTACTCTCAAATTGAAATTCACAAAGATTAAAACGAATTGAGAGATGGCACAGTCATATAGCCATGAACTCTGATTTTCTTAAGTACAAAACTTTTTTTTTTTTTTTTTTGAGACAGTCTGGCTGTGTCACCCAGGCTGGAGTGCAGCGGCACGATCTCGGCTCAGTGCAACCTCTGTCTCCTGGGTCCAAGTGATTCTCCTGCCTCAGCCGCCCGAGTAGCTGGGATTACAGGTGCCCACCATCACGCCCAGCTAATTTTTGTATTTTAGTAGAGACGAAGTTTCACCATGTTGGCCAGGTGGGTCTTAAACTCCTGACCTCAGGTGATCTGCACACCTCAGCCTCCCAAAGTTCTGGGATTACAGGCATGAGCCATTATGCCTGGCCCATAAAAGAACTTTATTATATTCCTAAAATTCAGTCATATGAAAGAGTCTGTTGAGCAGGTTAGCCTTTGCTTAACTTTCCTCCTCCCTGTCACTCCAGCCTTGGCTGGGGTGTTTTGTAGAATTTTCAGAGCGTGGAAGACAGACAACTGGAGCTTCCTCTTGCCCTTAGCCCATGCTTTTAGGAGAGCAAAAGGCAAAAGATTGAAACCAGTGACTTTAGTTTCCCCAGGCCCTTTCTTTCTAAGGGTTAAAGAAGAAGGAAATGTCTTCTGTAGCCAAGAATTCAAGGACTTGTAGAAGACAAGTGAAGGCTATTACAGGGATTTTGTCCTGGTTTGGTGGGTTTATCTCAGAGAAATACCACTCTGGTCTAGAAATGAGTTTTGAAGACTTGGGGAGTTAAAGGGCACTGAGTTTTGCTCTCACTGAACCCTGATTCCAGGTTTTACTTGGAGAAATCACCTGAGGGACTTTATTTCTATCCAATGCCCTGGTTTCCATCCTGACTAGAGGATGATGACATCAGCTGATAGGCCATGCTTCTGTCTTCTCTTATGTGCTTCATGCCAAGCCTCGAAATATACCTCTGGACCATCATTTCCACATCTACCTTGTGACTAGAAGTCCTAGTTATGGTATTTTGAAATTTACGATCCATAATCCTTGCCAGAAATCCTGCAGAGTACCATGGCATGGCATCATCCTGGTCATTGATTTCAATCTTTTGCCTTTTGCTCCCCTAAAAGCATGGGCCAATGGCAGGAGGAAGCTCTATTTGTCTGTCTTCCATGCTCTGAAAATTATATAAAAGCATCCCAGCTAAGGCTGGAGTGAAGGGGATGGGGAAAGTTAAGCAAAGGCTAACTTGCCCAATAGGCTCAATAGATTCAGTCTTGTTGGCCAGGTCCACTTGAAGGGTTTTTTTCTGTCTCATCTTGGAGACAGACAGTGAGGTCATGGTACAATTGTTATGAGTAAAGTCAAGAACAGATTCTAGGTAAAAGTAATTATGTACCCAAAAGGAGTTGAAGTGAAAATCAATTTAGGTTTACATTTAACATCCTTCAAGTTCTTATCATTAAATGGAGTTTCAGCGTCTCCCAAAGCTGGATGAGTTTTGCAGTTATGACCACTGGATTGTGAGACCATAAGACATTTGAACAATCTTTTATTCTACCCATCTAGAAAAGCATCTTTTTTATATACCAAATTTTTACACATATATCCACATCTGATTTTGAAATCTAGAGCAGAAGTACTCAAAGTTTGGTTCATGGACTAGTGCCAGTTCACAAATTGTTAATGTTTCATAATGAGGTAAGTATAGAAGTTGAGAGTAACCATTTAGAAACTGTATAGGAATTTTAAAAGTAATATCTGACAAATTTAATAATAAAAATGGAGGCTTGTGTTTTGTGTGCTTTTTAATTTCATTTTCTTAATAATCCATTTTGATTATATTTTATGAAATATTGTTCCATGACAGGTAAGAAATTAAAACAGGCCAGGCATGGTGGCTCACGCCTGTAATCCCAGCACTTTGGGAGGCTGAGGCGGGTGGATCACCTGAGGTCTGGAGTTCCAGACAAGCCTGGCCAATATGGTGAAACCCCGTCTCTACTAAAAATACAAAAAATTAGCTGGGCGTGGTGGCGGGCGCCTATAATCCCAGCTACTTGGGAGGCTGAGGCAGGAGAATTGCTTGAACTCGGGGTGGTGGAGGTTGCAGTGAGCTGAGATCGCACCATTGCACTCCAGGCTGCATATGTATCCTGGAACTTAAAGTAAAAAAAAAAAAAAAAAAAAAAAAAAAGAGAGAGGGAGAGAGGGTGGAAGGAAGGAAGGAAGAAAAAAGACAAAGGAACAATTAGTCCTTCCTCTCAGGTTTGAGAAGCACTACTCTAGAGAGACTGGGTAACAGCAGCAAAAAGCATGGACTTGGAATAAGACTGAGTTCAAATCTCCACGCCTCCTTTTCCCCATTTGTACAACAGCCATAATAATGGAACTTACTTCATGGGAGTGTTTTAAGGACTAAATGAGTTAAGGTGTAAAACATGGAACAGTGACACTTACGTGGTAAGTGTTCAGTAAGTGCTAACTTGACTGTTCTTTTTGTTATCTAGCAGTACAAGTATCACCTCATTATTCTTTCTCATAAATGTCTTATTTATTAGTATATATTTAATCAATCAGAAAATCTGGACTGAATTTTTCAGTTTTCAAAAAAATGTGAAACTAGTATTCTTTCTAAGTTCAGGGGTACAAGTGCAGGTTTGTTACGTAGGTAAACTTGTGTCATGGAGTTTTGTTGTATGGTTTATTTCATCACCCAGGTATTAAGCCTAGTACCCATTGGTTGTTTTTCTTGATCTTCTCCCTCCTCTCACCCTCCAAATACCTAATCTTCTCATCCAGAACGATGGGTGTGTTTCTTTGTCAGTTAAAATATCAAAGTTATGCTATCATAGCAACCCCAAAATTTCAACAACTTAAAACAGCAAAGATTTATTTCTAAATCATGCCACATGGCCCATTAAGGGTCAGCGAGAAGCCCTGCTCTACTTTGCTCATACTTTGAGATCTGTGCTTCACGTGGCAAGTAACTCTTAAATCTTCTACGTGGAAATAAAACACATCACGTCCACTCCTATTTCATAAATACAAGCAAAGCAAGTCACATGGCCATACCTAATGTCAAGGGATGGGGAGGAAGTATCCTACGATGTGTCTGAAGAACCAGGAACCAATACACAGATAGCATCCCCAAAGAACATATCTGTGTTGGTGCTTTCCCACTAGAATGGCTCTTAATCCTTCTTTTTTAATAATGTAAGATTTAGGCCGGGCACAGTGGCTCACGCCTATAATCCCAGCACTTTGGGAGGCCGAGGCGGGCAGACCACCTGAGATCAGGAATTCAAGACCAGCCTGGCCAGCATGGTGAAACCCTGTCTCTATTAAAAATACAAAAATTAGCTGGGCATGGTGGCACGCACCTGTAATCCCAGCTACTCTGGAGGCTGAGGCAGGAGAATCGCTTGAACTCTGGAGGCGGAGATTGCAGTGAGCCGAGATCACACCATTGCACTGCAGCCTCAGCAACAAGAGCAAAATTCTGTCTCAAAAAAATTAAAAGAAATGTAAGATTTACAGAAGAGTTGCAAAGATAGTACCAAGTGTTCCTCGATACCCTTCACCCAGCTTCTTCTAATGTTAACATCTTACATAACCATGCTACGTTTATCAAAACTAGGAAATTAACATTTGTTAATTAAATTACAACGAAGTTAATTAACAAATGTTAATTAAATTACAGTCAGGATTTGGATTTGCCCATTTTTTCCGCTAATGACTTTGTTTTGTTCCAGAAGCCAGTCCAGGATCCCACATTGCATTTAGTCATCGCGTTTTCTTAGTCTCCTCCAACTGTGACAGCTTTTCAGTCTTCAAAATCTTGACACTTTTAAAAAATAAATAAATTCATTTATTTATTCTTGAGACAGGGTCTCAGTCTGTTGCCCAAGCTGGAGTGTGGTGGTGCAATCACAGCTCACCGCAACCTAGGCCTCTAGGGCTCAGTGATCCTCCTCCCCCAGTCTCCCGAGTATCGCACCACTGCACTCCAGCCTGGGTAACAAGAGTGATGAAGAATGTTGTAGAATGTTCTTCAATTTGGTTTTAGTCTGTTTTCACACTGCTATAAGGAACTGCCCGAGACTGGGTAATTTATAAAGGAAAGAGGTTTGACTCACAGTTCACCATGGCTGAGGAGGCCTCAGGAAACTTAACAGTTATAGAGGAAGGTGAAGGGGAAGCCCTTCTTCACAGGGTGGCAGGAAGAAGTGCCGAGCGAAGCAGGAAGAGCCCCTTATAAAACCATCAGATCTTGTGAGAACTATCACAAGAATAGCATGGGGGAAACCGCCCCCATGATTCAGTTACCTCCACCTGGTCTCTCCCTTGAAATGTGGGGATTCTGGGGATTACAATTCAAGATGAGATTTGGGTGGGGACACAAAGTCTAACCATATCAGGATCTGATCTGGACTTTAGTACTTCTTAGATGGGGCAGGGTATGTAAAAACTCATTCTACTTTTTTCCTTTCCTCCTCAAGATGTATTCAGACTTAGTGACAGTCCTCCAAGGGCTTCCCAAATTTTTGGACATGTGATGAGTCCTAGTGTTGAGTAGTGGGAGACTGGGCTGCAGTGGATAAATTGGAAAAAGGCAAGTGAATACATATGGATGGGAAAGAAAAAAACAGCTTAGCCTTTGTTGCCTCTACCCTTCCTGCGATAACACTCACCAAATTACAGTTTGCAGAAAAATTGAATTAAACAGGTAAAAACATTTGCGCCCCCATTAGTGTCCCTTGATGCACAGATGCCATTAAGAATAGGATATTGAATAACCCTCAGAACAATGAGTACTTTCTGTCCTGAAAATGGAGATCTACTAACGTCAGAAGAAATATGTTCTTGGAGAAATAAAGCCTGAAGAAGCCAGTGGTAGACTTGTACAGTTTTTATTTACATAAAATATCTCAAAATTCACAAGTATACCACTGCTTATTTTCTTGCTTGAAGATCAGATCTCTGGTTTATTTAATATCAACATTCACCACAGCTGCAGGAAATTAAACTGAACCTTTAACAGGTACCGCATACGGACCTGGTTGGGGTTATAGACAATATATTCATTGTAGTTGAGGGTATAACCATCTGGATTCAGAATTCCTGTGTCACTTGCTGGTCCTAATGGCACTGTACTCCCATTCCTGCCAAATGGAAAAAAAGTGTGTCAACATCAGTCTCTGGTTCAGAAGCTGGAATAGAGAACATAGTCTTATCCAGCCAAAAGGAGTCTTCTAGCCCTCCTGGTTCTGAGTACTTACAGGGTGACGAAGTGGGCAGAACTGGGAGCCATCTTGCCCAGCCCCTTGGTGCTGTGTTTACCTTGAAGCAATCCTTCGGCCTTAGGATTGGCCTCTAGTAGTTCATTACACTGACCTAGAGCTACCTGCAAAGCAAAAAACCTTTGAATTCCCATATCCTACTAAGAATTAGATGGCTCCAGAGCCAAACAGAAAATCCCATCAGTACTTTTTTCCCCCTACTCCAGCAGAGGAATCCAATGTACCAGAAATTGTACTTGGTCCTCTCTCAAGTTATCCCAGGTAAACTTCTTGGTTCTGGGGTCAAACTTTTCTCATTGGAAAAAAACTGGAATAAACTAGAGATCACAGACATACTCCTGCCTCACCTCTGATAAGAGCAGCAGTCCTATATTCTTTAGGTGAGAGGCAAAGCAGTAATTGGCACTCTTGGAAGACATGTCAGCAAAGTAGATTCCTTTCCCAAACTGAAATATATAAATGAATACCAAGGTCAGCTTCTAACCCAATGTGTTAGAGAGAAAGTGCATACCACTGACCCTGTTTTTCCATTCCCTTAAACACAATATAGACCCTTCTCCATTTCCCCTCACAATTCTGTTCTAGAGAGGGTAGAAGCACCTGTGAATTTCTGCCTTCTGAGGGAAAGGTGAGGTATCTTCAGGAATTTAAAGAAAGAGGGACACAGTAAGAGATGACAAGGTTATCAGTGAGCTGGCTTAACTCTTGGGGAGGCGAACCACCTAAAGCACTGGGAACATTACTGTATCCTTTTCCCCTGTGCACCTAACAGAGTTCAATTTCACTCACCATGTAACCTGTGATGGGAGCTTCAGGTGGGGCAATTCGAAGCCCATGGCTCAAGATTCCCACCCAGTTACTCAGCCTGGAACCATGCCATAGAAGCATCCTAAGGAAAAGCCATTATTATTGTACTCTGTTGTTCTGCACAGACAGGTCATAAGCATAAAAAAGCTGACACCTTCCTCTGACTCCCTCTTATAAGTTCTATAGCTGCACTTTTGGGCAAGGACTGTCTTTCCAAACCCAAAGTTAGACTCAGACCTGTTATGAAGGTCCTCTCTGAAGGCTTCTTTCTCACCCTCCTTCTCTACTTCAAACAAATCCAGCAAGGTCATGGTATAGTCGCTGTGTGTGGGAGCATGGGTAGATTGTAGGTACTGGGAAATAACCTGTGAAAAATAAGACAAAAAGGCCAATGTGGACTCTACAAGAGACTGAGCTGAACTGAAGAATTTGGGGATTCTGATATAACTTGGCACACCTTTCTGCTCCCAAACAGTCTTACAAGGCAGCTAGGAAAAGCTTGGCCTTCCCAAATCCCTAGTACATAAAAAGTCTGCCCTAATTGACAATTTGCTCTTGACCAGAAGTAGTTAGAGATCAGTGGGATGGGGGAGGTGGTCTTAAGGGTGCAAAAGTATGAAAATGAATGATCATTTTTCTTACTTTGAACTCATAACTTTCATGGTCAAGAGGGCGCAAGGCACAATGTAGGTTTCTATAGTGTTGGTCCAATGGGTGTTCTGGGCTTTGTAGCTCTGTTTTCACCAGCTTAATAGCAATTTCAATGTCTCCCAAAGCCTGAGATGAGATATAGAATTAATGTGGGAGGAAACTGGTATAAGGGATATAATACTTCTCAATTCATACATATCTCACCTCTAGTAATTGTATTTTTTCTGACAGTTCCTTCTGTGTCCGGATTAGTGGAGGAGTACGGAGTCTAAGAACAGAGATATAACCCATAATGAGCTTTCTGACATGTGGCTAAAAGGCACATGACTAAAAATAGAAAATGACAGATAGGTCCTTTAGAAAACAGGTATGAGAAACAGGTTTTCCATTTGAGAAAGAAAGAGACCTGTAAAGAGATCTTAACTTCCAAATATATAAAATGTTAAATATATACTTGGTATAAGATGAACTACGTGGATTTTGACTTTTGAGACTAGAGTTAGAATTTTTTTTATCAAATCATTTTAAAATTAATATCAACAAGGAACAGTTTGGATATAGTTCTATCTCAGTAGACCTGTTGACCACTCAGGGTTATTTCTAGGTCACAGGGCTCTATAAAGCAATAAAAGAAATAGAAATGGGATGAAAACCAGAAAACAGAATCAACAAATGTAAAATGTTATTTTGTCTATCTAATATCACTTGAGTTCACAGAAATGGTGTTTGTGTGGTTTTAGTCACCTCAAATAGGAAAAGGGGGTGATGTGCCTGAAGGTGTTTTACTTGGTGGTTGGATAGCTAGACCCATTCTCTCTTGGGCTGGTAACTTCCACTTTGTCAGAGAATATGGCTGTGGTCAAGCCAGGAGATTGCATCCCCTATTTGTAAGCTGATTAAATAGGCTACCTATGTATCGTTTTGTTTCTGTATGTATTCAAGATGATCATTTTCTTAGGAATAAAAGATTCAGAAGATTATAGCTGCTGCTGATAGATACAGGGGATATGTATAGGTAGAAGAACAAAGTGAAGTAACAGCACAGGCCTTACCCAAAGTCATGCGGAATCCTGGTGTAGAATTCATTGCATGCTTCCATGAGAGGTCGTCCATGCTGGCCAGCCCGAATACAATCCTCAATCTTCTTAAGAGACTGGTAACCTGCCTTGATTTGTGCCACTGTCAGCTTCCCTGCAGGCCCAGTCAGAGATCAGACTCCAAACGAGGATCCCAGCTAGTGAACTGTACTTACGTCCTTGCCTAAGAAAGACTTTCACCTTTCAACTTTTTTTTTTTTCTTTTTTTGGGATGGGGTCTCACTCCTGTTGCCCAGGCTGAGTGCCGTGACATGAACACAGCTTAATGCAGCTCAACTTCCTGGGCTCGGGTGATCCTCCCACCTCAGCTTCCCAAGTAGCTGCATCACAGGCACACACCACCATGCCTGGCTAATTTTTCTATTTTTAGTAGAGATGGCGTCTCGCCATGTTGCCCAGGCTGGTTTCAAACTCCTGGGCTCAAGCAATTCACCTGCCTTGGCCTCCCTATAAGTGTTGGGATTATAGGCATGACCCACCACACCCAGCCTCAACTTTCAAAATAGTTCCTCCTCCCTCCATACAACCTGTCACTCCAAACCCCATTTTCTTCATTCAGTACTATCAGCAAGCTTTAAATCATAATGATAATAAAATATCCATTAAAGGAACTAGGAATTATGAGGAGAGAATGCAGAAGAAAATGTGAAGTCCTACCAAGTGGGGCTTTCTTGGTATTATACTTCATTTCCATCATCATTTCTTCCATGGCCTGAACATTACAGATTAACTTTATTAACTCCTGTACCCGAAGATCCAGCTGTGACTCTGGCTTCAAAGGAGATTTAAGAGATTCCTCTTTCTTTGTTTCCTCTTCATCCTATAGCAAAAAACAAACAAAAGAAAATCTAAGAAATCATCTCTAGATTCCTTATAACACTCAATATTATACAATGTAAATGCTTTGTGAAGTTTTTATATTGCATTGTCTAGGAAATAATGACAAGCAAGGAAAAAAAGGCTGTACAGGTTCGGTACAGAAGCAATTTCTTTTTTCAAATATTTTTGATCCACAGTTCATTGAATCCATAGATACAGAGGGTTAACCATACTAGTTCTGCCTCCCACATTTTACAACTCAGAATAAGTCTAGGAAAAAAAGGCTTTCCTCATTAAGTCAGTGTGTAAAGATAGCTATTATGGCTCAGATCTTCCCATCTTAAAAAAGACTAAAACTTCTCCATTTTTTTGGATATGTGACTGTTTCAGGACACTTTCAGAATCCTGGTATACCTCAGTTTATCTAAATTAATTTTTTTATGGTGGTATATATCCAGAAGTGAAGAGAAATTTAAATGTAATTGTTTAATCAGTTTGATTTTTTATTACTCCTCTCTTGGTCCTAACAATAAACTTCTGGAAATAGGGCCTAAGATTTTATAAGAACCTTAGTAGGCCCAGTGTGGTAGCTCACGCCTGTAATCCCAGCACTTTGGGAAGCTGAGGCGGGTGGATCACCCAAGGTCATGAGTTCAAGACCAGACTGGCCAACATGGTGAAACCCCATCTCTACTAAAAATACAAAACACATTAGCCGGGCATGGTGGCAGGCACCTGTAATCCCAGCTACTTGAGAGGCAGAGGCAGGAGAATCGCTTGAACCCAGGAGCTGGAGGTTGCAGTGAGCCAAGACTGAGTCATTACACTCCAACCTGGGCAACAAGAATGAAACTCCATCTCAAAAAAAAAAAAGAACCTTAGTAAATAACAGCCGAGAGCAGAAAGGCACATTCTATCCTCATTCTTACTGTCCCTTCGGGATTACAAAGATCAGTGAGAACACCCCTGAGGTGAGAAGTAGAAAGGACTCAAGATATCCTGGCCTGTCCCAGTCTAGGAATGATCTAAGCTATTCTGCTTTATCCTGAGTAAGAAGAAACAGGAGTAGGTGTGGTGCCTCATGCCTGTAATCTCAGGACTTTGGGAGGCCAAGACAGGAGGACTGCTTGAGCACAGGAATTTGAGACCAGCCTAGGCAACATAATGAAACCTTATCTTTACAAAAAAAAAAAAAAAAAAAAATCAGCGGGGCAGAGTGGCACGTGCCTGTAGTCCCTGATACTGAGGAGGCTGAGGTAGGAGGATCACTTGAGCCTAGGGATCTTGAGGCTGCAGTAAGCCATGATTGTGCCACTGCACTCCAGCCTGGGCAACAGAGCACAATTTTGCCTCTAAAAAATAAAATAAAATAAAAAAAGAAGATGGGTTTCCTCCGAAAAGTATAGTGAGAGTTACCTGAGTATTGGTGGCATAGTCCATCTGTAGCATATCATATTTTCCAGGCACCTTCTCAAACTTTTCTCGATCTTCCCAATTGTTTTTTGTTTTGTCAAGGAATCTGTAGAGTCCAAAGTGTAAGACAACCTTACAAATAAAGGTCTACTATGAAGAAGGACTTACAACTGTTTCCTTAGACAGAAAATCTCCAAATAATTTATTTTCCACCACTGAGCTCCTTTACACGTCACCTTTCCATAAATCAAAATTAGTCTAATTCTAAGTGAGGACACTAAATGGATAAAAAAGCTCTGGAGACAAATGGAATTTAAAAAATGGGGAAAAACAATGCTTGTCCTTCCCAAACACCACAAAAGCCATTAGATTTTAAACAAAAGATATCCATCTAATCCCTTTCCCTGAAAGAAACATGTTCCTAAATTCTCCAGAAAGTTCTTCATCTATATCAGAGTTAAAGTTTTAAAAACTCTAACTGAATATTCTTTTTTCTTTCTTTCTTTCTTTTTTTTTGGGAGAGTCAGGGGTCTCGCTTTGTTGCCCAGGCTGGTCTCAAACTCCTAGCTTTAAGCAATGCTCCTGCCTCAGCCTCCCAAAGTGCTGGGATTTAAGGCATGAGCCACCGTGCTCAGCCCCTAGCTGAATATTCTCTACCCTATGATAGTCTCCACTTATCCCAAATTTCCTAAATTTGTCAGCCATGTGTTAAATATATTATTCTGTTTTTAGTGACTTTCAAAGTTCTAGTTTGATTTAATCACTAAGGATGCAGTTTGGTGTTTCGACCACAGAATGTCAGGGTGAAAAGACATTAACATTTAGGCCAAACCACACCTATAAAAGGAAAAGCTTTTTATAAGCCACACACTTATAAAATTCTTAGAGAAGGCAGGGCACGGTGGCTCATGCCTATATTCCCAGTACTTTGGGAGGCCAAGGCAGGTGGATCACCTGAGGTCAGGGGTTTGAGACCAGCCTGGCCTACGTTGCGAAACCCCATCTCTATTAAAAAATACAAAAATTAGCTGGGTGTGGTGGTGGGCACCTGTAATCCCAGCTACTCGGGATGCTGAGGCAGGAGAATTGCTTAAACCCAGGAGGCGGATGTTGCAGTGAGCTGAAGTTGTGCCATTGCACTCCAGCCTGGGCCAACAAGAGCGAAACTCTGTCTAAATCAAAATTCTTAGAGTAGATACATCTAAGAAGAGGGTATATTTTCTTGTAGTCACTTTTTAGCACTCACTTCTTCTCAAAGATTTCCTTGGCCTTGTTGAGATTGCCTGAACAAGCCACCAGGCTGTGCTGTCCCATTTTCCCAACTGCAAAGTAAATGCCACATGTAAGATAATTTCCTAATAGTAACAGGCCAGCTCTCCAAGGTCTCTCTGTTTAACATCTGACAAACAGGCAGGAAAGGGAGAAGGGAAAGGTGAAAGGATTTAGGGAACTAATCATGTTGATGCAAGTTACCTGCTAACAGCGATAGTCTATGAGCACTACTAGCAGTTCAACTATAGAAGAGTTTTCAGCCTCAATGGGCTGCTCTTAGTTTTTCCAGTGGGAACTCTAAGGAGGATGCCTGCCATTCTCCAATTTCAAGATGCTCAACTTGTTCCTAAGCCTCTCCCAGACTTCAGAGCCTCTACTGACCCAATTTAAACCCAGAGAATCCTTTGGCCACCCACTAAGCTACTTCTGACTTTCTGAATGCCAACTCATAAAATCTCAATAAAAATCATTACCTCGGCCCCATCTCATCCAAACACTGAAGTTCCTCTGGGCATCATCTTCTAATAGCTGAATCAGATAGTACTTGTTGTTGTTGAACTGGAGATTGGTCTATGTTGAGTGAACACAAAAACAAAAAAAGCAGAGTTTTGCAAATGGAAAGCACATAAACCAATAACTCATCCCTCATCACAGGTGCCAGTTGATTAAAGATATAAAGAAGAAATAGGGCTTATACATTAAACTTTGGATTCTTAGGAATTAAAATGGGAGCCTAGAAGCTTCCTAAACCCTCTATCCAACCTCAAATATCCTACATTGAATGGCTCCTCCTGTTTTTTCCTGCCTCAGCTCCCTATTTAGATATTTTCTAAGCTATCTGTGTTTTCCAGCTCCCAATCCACTCCCAATAATTATTTCCCAAATGAAAACAATTTTGATGCTCCAAAGGTCTAAAACTGTTACGCTCAACTGTTAAATGACTTACTCCTTGACAGTTCTACTCACAACTTTTGTTTGTCAGTTGCAGAAATTTGACAATGAGCTGAGAGCAGTGCAATACTGGGAGGGGACAAGGGATATGCAAAACCACTGCCTCATCTGTCCCATACCTAACCTGACCTGACTTGGAGATACTGAGAGAGAATATGGCCAGTATCTAAAAAGAGTTATCTGTAAGTAAATCACTCAGAGTGAAGAGAGAGAGAAGTCCATGATAAGGCACAGCAGCTGGTATTGTATGGCTAAGCGCTGGATATGGAGGCATTCTTCTTTGTTAAGCATGCTGCCTCTTCCTACTTCTATCTCCTGCTTGCTCACATTCTAAAGCCACTGCATGACCTTAGCCCATTGGTGAAAAAAAAAGGTCATTAGATGTTAGAACAAAAAGGAGCCTAAGATAATTTTTTTTTTTTTTGGAGACGGAGTCTTGCTCTGTCGCCCAGGCTGTAGTGCAGTGGTACAATCTCCGCTCACTGCTACCTCCGTGTCCCAGGTTCAAGCAATTTCTCGTGCCTCAGTCTTCCTAGTAGCTGGGATTACAGGTGCACGCCACCGAGCCAGACTAATTTTGTATTTTTAGAGACGGAGTTTCAACATGTTGGCTAGGCTGGTCTTGAACTCCTGACTCAAGTGATCTGCCTGCCTTGGCCCCCCAAAGTGCTGGGATTACCGGCATGAGCCACCACGCCTGGCTTGATATTTTCTTTTCCTTTAAAAAATGTATATGGTCTTTGTTTTTGTTTTTGTTTTTTTGAGACAGGGTTTCCCTCTGTCACCCAGGCTGAAGTGCAATGGCTCAATCACAGCTCACTGCAGCATCAACCTCCCAGGCTCAAGCAATCCTCCCACCTCAGCCTCCAAAGTAGCTGGCCCATGCCCAGGTGTTTTTGTATTTTTTTGTAGAGACAAGATTTCACCATGTTGCCCAGGCTAATCTTGAACTCCTGACCTGAAGTGATTCTCCAGCCTTGGCCTCCGAAAGTGCTATGATGACAGGCATGAGCCACCATACCTGGCCACCTTAAGGTATTTTCCTTTTTTGAGACGGAGTTTTGCTCTTGTTGCCCAGGCTGGAGTGCCATGGTGCGATCTTGGCTCACTGCAACCTCTGCCTCTCGGGTTCAAGCGATTCTCGTGCCTCAAGCTCCCAAGTAGCTGGGATTACAGGCATGTGCCACCACACCTAATTCTGTATTTTTAGTAGAGATGGAATTTCTCCATGTTGGTCAGGCTGGTCTCGAACTCCCGACATCAGGTGATCTGCCCACCTCAGCCTCCCAAAGTATTGGAATTACAGGCGTGAGCCACTGTGCCCAGCCAACCTTAAGGTATTTTCTATCTGCCTGTGGTATTTTAAGTAGAAGAAATAGTAACAAAGAAATACTAGTTAGTTGTTAAAATTACGTATGTTGGATCAGTAAATTCAAATATGAAGTCATATCCAGGAAATATATTAATGAGGCAAATGTATTATCTACTCAAAACACAAAGATAAACAAGAGAAAAAGTTTGATTAAAAAGAAAGCTGGGCTTGGGGACAGATGCATGTAGTCCCAGCTACTTGGGAGGCTGAGGTTGGAGGATCACATGAGGCCACAAGTTCAAGGCCAGGCCAGCCTGAGCAACATAGCAAGACACTGTCTCTTAAAAAAAAAAAAAATTTTTTTTAAATGAAAAATTAATAAATTTAACTATAGAAAAAATTTAAAGCTTCAATATGGGCAAAAAGTGTACTACAAAGAAAACCAAAAGGTAAATGACAAATCTGGAAAACATATAAGCAATTTATGTTACAGACAAACGGCTATTCTCCATATTATATAAAGTTCCTTGAAACCAGTAAGAAAAGGACCAACACCTTTTTAGAAAA